TAGTTCTTTCTCCTCAAACCAGATACGTCCAAACATCCCTACTCACACACCAGCCCTGCAGCGCTCCCTCCCTGAAATACCATCACTTTGCTCAGGCGATAGATTTAAGCAGAAGACTCTAATGTAAAAGCCCTGCATATTCTATATATGCAGGGAATAGCTGCTGTTTAATATTTTTTTCAAGTAAATTGTATTTTTTCAAATAAATCATTTTTGTTTCAAATAAAGCAAACTGCATATCAGTAGCTAAAATATTTTGTAACACTAGAATTTATATTAAAAGAAGGGGATGAAAAAAATTCACAACAGATTTCTTACAGTCTGCATTACAGCTTTGATTTTATTTTGAAGTGTCAGACTCTCTGTCACTGGAAGCAGACATTCCCTCACTGGTATTTGTATGCTGCCGACGCAACAGACGCTCCACTTGCCAGGCTCTCTCAGCCGAACTCCATTAAGACAAGAAAGAAGTTTATACATTTTTACGAAAGCTACAGCAAAACTTAACGCATGAGGCCTTTAATCAAGCAGCTACATAATCAGTTAAAAGGAGTTTTACTCCAAACTGGCAGTGTGCAGGATTTGTTTTCATTTTGGCTGCATACAGCAACCGAAGGCACTCTGTTCCTGCCAGACCAAGACACAGCTTGTCAGCAGGATCTGTCACTTCTGGGCTTTCTAGAGCCCTTGCTGGTTAATGCCCAGGGCCAGTGAGAAAGCGCCACGGTAATGCCCTGCCATCCGTCACTTCTCTGCTGGGTGCTCAGCATCCTCTGACCGATCATCTAACACCCCACTCTGCTAACCATCGCCATGACCCATCTTCCAGCCTGCAGTCTTGACTGACTTGACTGATCTTTATTCATTTGAGGAAGATGATGATGAAAACACAAATGTCACTATCTGAGGCCGGCAACACTGCTCATTCCGAAAGATTTACATGGGGGTCTCTCTCCCATTCATGAAATGGCAGAGATCATCTGAATAGCAATCTGCTCTGAAAAGCTGGTCTCCGGAGAGCTGCCCTCTCCTCCAGCCGATGATCTTGCTTCTGCCTCGTGTTCACATGTGACATATACACTGCACTTGTGTTTTTAAATGTGTGTGTTTCTTAAATCTCTGCAATATCTCACAAACACCAACTTTCTTATATGAAAATTGCTTTGCTGTCCATCAAATCGCTATCACACCCCTCGGAAATTTGTTCTTCACAGATAATGTGATATGGCTGTGATCTTTCCTCTTTTACAGGTGGGCTTGTTGAGAGACAGGCAGGCATACCATGTATCTTCTCCTAAATTCAGCAGCAGATCTAGGAGCGGGAGAATCCAGAAATCCTTTTAGCTCCCTCTTCCATGGTCTGAACTGTACAAAACATGGCATGAACATTTGGCAACACTGTCCTTAAAGTTTAGAAGACAGAACTTTTGGAGGAAAGTGTCCCAACACAGTACTGACTTAGGAAAAAAGTGCAAACCAACACTGGATGTATACTGTAGAAGACTTGGATGTAAAGGAGAAATCTGGGAAACACAAATGAGCTAAAAAAGATTTCAGACCTTATTCCTGCAAATAGGAACACATGAGAAAATCAGATCAGAGTCTGACTTTGACAGTGCCCATCCTGGACCAACATGCACTTCCAACCAAAGCAGCAATACATTCATCTCCTATTATTATTTCCCTTCTGTAACTGATGTATTCTTGCATTTAACCAAGCAATTTCCATTAAGTTTTTCAGTGTTTCGGAATAAGCCTCTGAAGTCCCTGTCTTCCAGTGAAATCTATGAGAACTTCTTCTTGAGCTTCAAGAAACTTGTTACATAAAAAACAAAAGAAATTTTAGAAAAACCAGCTCAGAAATTGCCTGGACATCAAATACTGGCATACAAAACCTGGTTTTTCTTAACTACAGCCTAATGTAAATGATCAATTTTGAGAAATGTGTGTTTTAAAAATAAGGCAGTGCATATAAAGGCAAACATTAGCTCAAGTCTTGCATAACTGATACTGCAATACCCTCTTGTGGTCAAATAAAAATGTTTTATCTGAACACCTGAACTTTTTCCTCCATAAAAAGCCTCTCTAGACACCTTTTCCTTTGACAGGGGCAAATAACTCACGTCATATTTTTCACAAATGAATTTGAAGTGCGTATCATCACTTGTCTGGCAACAACAAAAGACTAACCTCAGTCAAGTTCTTCCTCAGAATGATGGGCACTGACACTGCTCGTCAGATAAATTAACCCCAAAACAAACTCCTAAGCACCATCTCCTACAGTGACACTCATAACTTTTTTCAAGTTTCATGTCCTCAACCAGAAAAAATAAAGATGCTATAATCAATTTACATAGATAAGTATGGCATGAAGCCACAATAAACATCAACCTATTCTACTACAGGACGAAAAGAAGTACACAGTAAATCAGTCATACCAATTCAAATGAGCTCCCTGCTTAAACGCCCCGAGTTGTTATAATAAACAAATAAAATGGTAGATGGTAACATGAGGGGAAATAGTTCAGTATCTGCAGCAGTTCTGCTGAGCTGTTCATCTAGTAAAAGGCCTAAATGGGCTACTAGTATATCCAATAAGGAATCTAGAGTAATGCCCAGAAATGCCATCCTTACACTCACCTTGATGTGCTTTAATGGTGCATAACCACTCCCTTAATGACTTCTGGTCCCAGCAGAAAATGGGATAATTTTCAAAATACCTTTTTTCCAAAAAAATACCTTTTTTTGGAACAGCAGCTACATTTAAAAGCCATTTTATCATATTATTTTTAAAAACACAACTTATTTAAACAGCTATGATCCCATTTCCATCTATTATTTCCAGAGAAATGGCTTGAACACCATGAAGTGTCCAATACCTGCATGTAGACTCATAGCAACTTTTGTTTAAAGCCTAAAGAAATCCTAAACAGTTAAGACTTCCTTCTTTTCTGAGGTTGTAGGGTCTCAGACCAACAGATGTGGCTTTAACCTATGAGTTCACTTTCAGTAAGATGTTCTGAGAGGCACTTCGTAGCCCTACACTTGCATAAAAACCAGGGTAGTTACAACTCCTGCATCTTTGTAGACACCACTCAATGGCATAGACTTTAAAAACCTGCTTGTAATCTTTCTGTCCAGTTTATTCAATGGTTACAAGTAGTCATTTGGAAGCTATGTACTCAGCTCAATAACCATTTTTAGTTTATTATTATGTTTAATTTGCAGAAATTTACTTGAAGGAAGGATTAGAATTAAAATAACACAAGAACTTTGTAAACAAGAATTAAAAAGCGTTCCATGCACAGGAACAGACTTCCCATCAGGATCCCTTCCTGACCTGATCAGGAGCTAAAAGCCCATGCACACTGAATAATGCATTGGATCTTCCAAACATGCCTCAGCTTCCTTTTAAAGCAGTTAGATGCTCCCAAAACCCCATTCTCCAACCAGCTACACACACTCCAACTTGGAGAGGACCCTGGAACGAATGCAGCAGGGTAAGCAGATTCCACAAGAGGAACAGAGACAACTATCAGGCCAGGTTGGCAAACAGTTCATTCCTTCAGTTCATGATAATGCTGTGCAGATACATGACTTTTTTTGCTTTTTGGCTGAAAGAGATGAAAAACACTGTTTAGGTTTCAATTATCTCAGAAAAACAAGCAAACAAACAAACAGTCTACTAGAATTTCAGTCAAACCCAAAGCAAACACAGTGGTTTGAGGTGTTTACCTCTTCTTAAGTTATGTTATTGCAACCTTCAAAGTTAGAATAATTTTTCCAAATACAGAAGTACTTCTTACTCAAATATGTCTTTATGAAGTGTTCAGATTGTTGTATAGTTGTAACTATTTTAAAAGAAATTATTTACCAAATTCAGCGTGTATTTCCTGATACTGCAAGCAAATACGTTTGCCAAAAAACCCCTAAAAAAGCAGATTCAAGGTTCATTAGCATTTACCAGGAAGATGAATCAAGAGGCTAGAATTCATCTGGAGCTAATCCAGACTACTCAAAAACAAGTCAGTCAAGAATTTCAGAGGAAATTTATACTTAAAACACTCCGTTTTCCTGCAAGTTCACAAATACTTGAGGAAGTGACTTCATCTCACAAAAGCCCAAGAGGCTGCCTGTAAAGACAAACACTGAGATTTTGGACACTGTTTTGAAAATTCTCACTTTGTATGCTAATAACCCTTTAAAATTACTTAAGAACTACTACTCATAGTTGCTTAATACCTTCTGCAGAAATCTTTAAGTACTTAAAAAGGAGTTTTGATTATCTCTGGCTGCTCTTTTTTTTTTAAATCTGAAAATAAGGAGCTTTCAAAGCACAGATTCATTGAAATACCTTATTTTAAACAAACAAGCTCTGCCCCAAATAGAGTTCAATGCCCCAGCAGCTGTACCACTGGGTCTCTGCTCCCTTTCTGGTGAATATTCGCAAGTCAGACGTGTTTCCAATAGAGACAGTAAACACACCAGGGAAACCAACAGCTTTCAGGAGATTTTGCTTCTGCTACATAACCACAACAAAACTCCTCCTGACATACTCAGCAGCAATCTCCACAGCACCCTTTGCTACTAAACCAGACTTTATTGTTCTGAGGATTTTGAATAGAGGCTGGTGTCAGCTGCAAGCAGCAGTAATCATCTCGGAAGCTGAGAGTTTGCTGGTTACAGCTGGAGATCCAATGGCTTTCAATAACAGTCATTTCTTACAAAATTGCTGTTACCATGAAAATTCCTTCAGCGTTCAAGCAACAAAGCAACATAAAGCAGTAGGAAATGAGCATTAAATAAGAGGGAAGTAAAACAGTGCCGAGCACTGCCTATCAGTGCTACTGTGCATGTTCGTTTTCTGAAAGCGCTCCAAATCGGCAGCTAAAAGAAAATGTTAGGAGAGAAGGAGCTTTGAAAGTGCAACCAATAGCAGGTTTAACTTTCCTAACAGTCACAATATACCTAACAATACTGGGAATACAGTGATTCTCAAAATGGACAAGTTGGGAAAGGGTTCTGGATTCAGGAGAAATACCTTGGTTAGGTCTTGGCAACCAGCAACCACACCTCTGGGGCAACCAGCCTCAGCTCCAGCTGTGTCTTTTGGCAGCACCCAACCCAGAAGACCTGTCGTTGCAAAACCAGCTACTTGGGCCTGGGCAGACGAGCAGGCAGCACTGCAGCAGGACCAGGTTCAACAGGATAAGATCTGGAGAGAGTCTGTGGAGGCTGAACAGAGAGGAAGAAAAATCTGGTAAGTCACTTGTTCCAGTTCGTGCTTCTTCTACTCAACAGTGGTACTGATACTCCCTGACAGTCCTAGGGCTTGATCCAAAGCCTACACTATCAAAGGAAATTTTCTTCTGCAGGGACTTTGGATCAGACCCTAAAACACCTTTCTTTCTAAGACTTTCTATCTCCTTCACTGGACAACATCTATGGTAATATGTTCTGGCATGCTGGTCTTAAGCTTTAAGAGAAGAGATGCAAAAAATTGCATGCTAAGTATCTTCTAGCTTTATAGAGGTTTCCACAATGAAGATATAAATGTGCCAACCTTTACAATTTATTGCAGACACACTGATATTATCACCTCTTCTCATATTGTTGGAAATGGCTGAAATGGAAGCTGAACAGAGTGTTCTGCCAAAATATGATTTTGTATTCCCAATCTGTAAATCTGCTGAACATGCCCCATTGTTACAGCGTTTCAGCAGACTGAACTGCACACATACAACCTAAGCTTTGACTGTGTATACACCAGTGACCTGAAGGAACCCAAAATTAAGATCCTCTCTGTCTCTACCACGTATTTTGAGTAAGTGTTTATGTTCATACTTCAGTACACAGCATGAGCATGCCTATTAGAAGAATATCCTTGGTAAAAGTAAAATCAGATCCAGTTCCGACTGCGCACTAGCCAAGCTAAAGTAAAGGGAGGAAAAAAGAACATCACTCTCAGGATTTTTTAGAATGGGAAAAGAAACCATCTGAAAACCCCCATCCTCCTCAGCTTTCTGGAGGAGATACAAATCACAGCTCTGATTTCCCCAGAGACGCATTTGTACTCTTGCCTGGCTCCTTTTACCTGAGGGAAAGGCTGACACCAGGACTCTGACTCATGCAAAGCCAAAGCCGTGGTGGCAATGTTACTCCTTCCCC